ATGAACTGCAAAATTAGTATATGAATAATACTTGCTTATACTGGTTGACGCTTCATTTGGCTTTTTTGTACACCTATCCCAGCTTTCCTCCAAGGAGTTGAAAGAGCTTTCATGGTGCTCTCCCTTTGTATGAATTCTATTAAATCATCCAGTAAGCCAGGGGTGTCAAACTCAATTTCATTGAGAGCCGCATGAGCATTGCAGTTGTCCTCAGGGGGGCTGGGTAGGTGTGGCCAGGGTGGGCACGGCCTACTGGGTGGGCATGGCTGAAGTGGGTGTGGCCTACTGGGTGAGCATGGCCAGCTCTACATCGTTCCCGTCAAGGGTGTCTGTGGGGGCCTAGGCAGGAGTGGGACAGATCTGAGGGTCTCTGGCAGAAGGGGGTGGGACCAGGGCAAGTGCCAAGGTATGGTCCACTGGAAGAGCCTGCCGAACCCCTCCCCCGGAGCCCATCAAGCCGGATATGTGAAGTAGGCAAGGGCCATTTGCTGGCCACTTCCAGGCGATGGTACATTTCTTCATTCCTCACAAAGGGTGACACCTCCCCAGCATGCACCCAGGAGGCGGGGCCAAGGCAGCAGGGGCCATTCCCTCACTGTTTCCAGGATGGCTTCTTGGGCCACATGAAATCACATCGCGGGCCGCATCCGGCCCCCGGGCCTTGTGTTTGACATGTCTGCAGTAAGCCTTAAAGTGAACTTGCTCCTAGTTAGAGTTAGGAAATCATGAATAATCCAATAGCTCCCACATGCCCTAGAAAAATACATTCATCTATCCAATTGTTTTGTTCCTCAATTATATGTTGATTCTTAAACCTTTTATTGAAGGTCTGCTGTATTTTCCCTGATAACCTACAAATACTTTCCAGTGAACTTTCTTTCTAAAGATAAAATATTGCATGTAAGAAATCTGATGCTTTTAACAGTAATTGAGTTGAATTTTATAGTTGTGTGGGATTTTCTTTACCTGGGATTCTCTACTTCACATTTTTTGTATTGGATGAGATTTGTAACAGGCCATAAAAACAGACTGATGTTGTGGTTAGTTGTGGTAGAAAACATGAGACTACCAAGGTTTCTGTAGTGGAATTGCCAGCTTCGCTAAAGGAAGGGGTTAAGGGAGGAATGAGCCTGGAGTCATTACACAACTTAAACTGTATGTCAGACTTGCTGCAACTTAATCCTAATGATAGAAGGTGTTGGGGGAGAGTGACCATGCAATATTGGAATTCAACATTATGCAAGCACAAGAAATAGAACATAGTCAAACTAGAGTCTTCGAGCTAAGAGAGCTAATTTCAACAAACTTAGGGAAAGCAACTCAAGAAGCTTGGGAAATTTTGAAAAGTGATATAATAAAAGCCCAGTCTAGCACAAAACCAACAAAGAAGAAAAATAACAGCTCTTAAAAGAAACCAGCATGGCTGCATAAAGAACTCTCTGATAAGTTGAAAGACAAAAAGGACAAGTATAAAAAGTGGAAAGAGGGGCAAATAACTAAGACAGAATATCAGCAAATAGCCTGAGCCTGCAAAGATGAAGTGAGGAAAGCCAAGGCTCAAAATGAACTAAGGCTTGCGACCAAAGTCAAGAATAACAAAAAAAGCTTCTTTCAACATGTAAAAAACAAGAAAAAAGTGAAGGAAATGATTGGTCCATTTGTGGGAGAAAGTGGCAAGAAGGTGACAAACAACAGGGAGAAAGCAAAACTACTCAACGCGTTTTTTGCATCTGTATTTACACAAAGGGGAAAAAACAGTCCAACCTATCAAAAACAGTACCAAAAAAACACATTAGAAACACAAGTTAAGATAGGCAAGAAAATGGTAAGTGAGCACCTGTCCACCCTAGATGAAATCAAGTCACCTGGATCATATGGATTATACCCCAAGGTTCTCAAGGAACTGGCAGATGTGATCTCAGAACCACTGAACTATATTTTTCAAAGATCCTGGAGCACTGGGGAACTACCAGAGGACTGGAAAAGAGCTGAAGTAGTTCCCATCTTCAAAAAAGGAAAGAAAAATGGACCCAGGAAACTACAGACCTATCAGCCTGACCTCAATACCTGGGAAGATTCTGGAAAAGATAATCAAGCAATGAATCAGAGAACACCTACAGGCAAACAAAGTCATTACTAAAAGCCAACATGGGTTTGTCAAAAACAGATCATCCAGACAAATCTTATTGCATTCTTTGACCAAGTGATAAAATTAATGGACCAGAGTGATGCTGTGGATATAATTTACTTGGACTTCAGTAAGGCATTTGATAAAGTAGATATTGTTTTAATAATAATAATAATAATAATAATAATAATAATAATAATAATAATAATAATAATAATAATAATAATAATAATAATAGTAATAGTAATAGTAATAGTAATAGTAATAGTAATAGTAATAATAATAATAATAATAAAGTTGGAAGGGACCTTCCAGCCCCCTGCTCAACCAGGAGACCCTATATCATTTCAGACAAGTGGCTGTCCAGTCTCTTCTTAAAAACCTCCTGTGATGGAGCACCCACAACTTCTGAGGGCAAGCTGTTCCACTGGTTAATTGTCCTCACAGTTAGGAAGTTTCCCCTTAAATCCAGGTTGCTCCTCTCCTTGATTAGTTTCCATCCATTGTCTTGTCTTACCTTCTGATGCTTTTCTTTTGTAACAGCCCCTCAAATACTGGAATACTGCTATTTTTGTCACCCCTAATCGTTCTTTTCTCTAGACATACCCAATTCTTGCAATCGTTCTTCATATGTTTTTGTCTCCAGGCTCTTAATCATCTTAATCTTTTGATCATGTGACTCAAGAGGAGTTCAATAGAGAGAAATGTACAATATACATTTACATTATACAAGAAGATTGGAAACTGCTTCTTTATAACCTTTTCTTTCCTTCCCTTTCAATTTTTCTTTCTATTTCTTTCTTTGCACTTGTTTCACACTTATTTATTTTGTTTTGTTACTTTCTTCTTTCAAAATTTGTATTGTTCTTGAAAATGTCTTTTAATGAAACATGCATGCATAAAACCATTGCCTTAACTGCATTTTTTGAGATATCAAAGAGAATATAAATAAAAAATAAAACATCAGTAATATTTGTCTTCTTCAAATCTATGAAGTTGAAAAGTAATTGAAGAGGACATAAGAAATGAATTATATTGGGGGAAAAATAAATCAGATACATTTCTAACTGCTCAGATATTCTGACATTCTCTTAGCTCAATGATTTAAAGTATTCTTTTTTTGATAATATATTTATTGCTTTTTTTAAACATAGTAACCTTAATATTTGGTAAACAGTGTGTTGTCTGGGTTTATATTTAAAAACAATCAATAACAATTAATTTCTATAATTCCATAATCCACATAGTAACTTTCCGTGATTTTCTCTTCTTCCAATAATATTCTCTTTTATCAACCTTAAATTAGTACATTTCTTAGTATTTTGATAGATAAAAAGTATTTAAAGTATTCTTATTGCTGTTTGATGATGATAAGATCTCAACTGCATTACCCAGATATTAAATAATTATTAATGGTTACAAAACAGCAGACATCTTTTGAAGAAGACTCTGGATTGGGACGCTCTACGCACGGTCACTCAAGCCCTCGTTGTTTCCCGCCTGGACTATTGCAATGCTCTCTACATGGGGCTCCCCTTGAGGTGCACCTGGAGGCTCCAGCTAGTTCAGAATGCGGCCGTGCGGGGGATCCTGGGGGCCTCTAGATACTCCCATGTAACACCTCTCCTGCGCAAGCTGCACTGGCTGCCGGTGGCCTTCCGGGTGCGCTTCAAGGTGTTAGTAACAACTTTTAAAGCGCTCCATGGCAATGGACCTAGGTATTTGCAAGACCGCCTCCTACCAAATATCTCCCTTCGACCAGTCCACTCCCACAGAGAGGGCCTCCTTAGGGTGCCATCAGCCAGTCAATGCCGGCTGGCGACCCCCAGGGGGAGAGCCTTCTCTGTGGCAGCTCCTGCCCTCTGGAATGACCTACCCCCCAACCTACGTACAACTACGGACCTGTGCCTCTTCCGCCGAGCCTTGAAAACCCATCTATTCCATGCAGCCGGCCTGGCGTAGTTTTGATTGGGCTTTGCTAGGGGTTTTATATGGGGTATTTTAAAGCAGGCTTTTTATTCAATATTTATTGTGATTTTTATTATTGCCTGTTCACCGCCCTGAGTCTCATAAGGGAGATAGGGCGGTATATAAATTTAAATAATAAATAAATAAATAAATAAATTACTCTCTTCATTAAATAAGTCTTGTAAATAATTGGAACTAAAAGAAAGTACTTTATTAAAGGAAGTCTCTCATTATATAGTGAAAGACTTTATTTTCTTTTGACATTAATAATAATTTCACACAAGCATTTACACTTGCCAAAGATATACAGTATTGGTAAAGTTGGCAGAGCTGATAAACAACTCCCATTTTGATTTTTAGATAGGATTACTAATTCCATTTTCAGAGCAGAAATACTTATAACCATAATTTAACTAGAAGTCAGAAATGCTTTCTCTTTACAAGTTTCTCTTTGTTGTTGAGGTCAGGTCTCAGCAGAATAATGTAGCATTTGGGGAAAAAGATACATCCCAATAACCCAGCACTAGAGGCTAAGATGGAGAAGATCTCCACAGCTACCATATACTTTCCTTTGGTGCTCACATAGGTTGGAACAAAAGTTAACCAAACACTGCAAAACACCAGCATGCTAAAAGTGATAAACCTGGCTTCATTGAATGTGTCTGGCAGGTTCCTAGCTAGGAAAGCCACCAGGAAGCTGACCAGAGATAGAAACCCCATATAGCCCAAGACTAGGTAAAACATCACAACAGACCCTTCATTGCATTCTGTTATGATCTCTTTAGTCATTGATTTCATGTTAAGTTCTGGAAAGGAGGGAGAGGTGATCATCCATGCCAGACAAATGCCTGCTTGAATGGAGGAGCCAGAAAAAACAATTAAGATGGACAGTTTCTTCCCCAACCATTTTCTCATGCCAGACCCTGGTTTGGTAGCCATGAATGCTGCAATGACCATGATGGTTTTGGCCAACACAGAAGAAATGGCCACAGAGAAGATAATGCCAAACACGGATTGTCGGAGGAAGCAAATCAGTGTCAGAGGTTTTCCAAGGAAGAGAAAAGAGCAGAGGAAGCAAAACAGAAGGGAGATGAGAAGAGTGTAGGTGAGGTCCTTGTTGTTAGCTTTAACAATAGGGGTGTCTTTATACTTAATGAATATTCCAAATATGAACAAGGTAATGATTGAAAAAAAAATAGCAACCACAACTAAGCTGATCCCTAAATGTTCTTCATAAGTTAGAAAAGTTATGATTTTGGGGATGCATCGAACTTTGTCTTTACTTGGATATTGATCTTCTGGACATTCAGAACAGGCAATCGTGTCTGGAAATGAGAGGGAGAAAGACCATGCGACATGGAATCTAATAATCATGATGTCAACACTGCTAACATCGGATTTTCTTGCTTTGACAACAGATGAAAGTGCAGACATTTTCTGTATGCTGTTAGAATTAGTTAGTGCTGGGAGGGGGGATTGGGATGAGAGTTCAGTTAGTCATAATAATAATAACTCTGCTGTGAGAATCCAAGGACAAACTGGGTCCAGAGCTGATAACGTTTTGGCGATCTGGAGAGCTGGGGTGAAAGCCCACGCTTCACACTAATTGGGGAATGTGCTTTATGACTGTTTATTTGGGGTGGGAATTGTACTTTGTTACTTTGTATCCAGGGGAGGGGAAATTAGTTTTTGGGTTCAACTATGTAGTGCCGATACTTTGTTTCCTGAATAAAAGATTCTTTAAGGAAAACAATGCCTCAAAGTTCTTTTGAAGGGTTTCATCTGTCGGAACCATGACACATGGTTAATATAGCACCAAGTGAAATAAATAATCTATATTAGATTAGATCAGTGCTTTTCAAATTTTTGACTGGGGCATCTTGGGAGTTGGGGTCCACGCTTCTTAAAATAACTAAGTTTGAAAAGTACTGGATTAGAAATAATTTATTGAGGATGGAATCTTCTATGTTAGTGATAATCACACACACAGATAGCACCCAAGAAAAAATATTCCAGAAGCTTCCTTAAGACCTTTCCCCTCATGTTTTCCTTTCCAAACATTATGTATGGATGCATATGAGTGGTTCTTCAAAATGCCAAGATGCTAGGTAAACTATGTGACTGATGCCCCACCCATTTTAACAGGTATCACATATAGTACATACCTGTAAAATCAGGGACAGAACTTCAATCAAATGGTGAAACATGACTCTGTGAGTTTCAATACATGTAGGGAAATATATCTGTTTATCCATCTATCTTTCTATCTATCTATCTATCTATCATCTATCTATCTATCTATCTATCTATCATCTATCTATCATTTATTTATCAAATTTATATAGTCATCATCTCACCAAGATTTGACTCTAAGCAGCAGACAACAATGAGGTAAAGCAATGTAAAAAAGAACCACAGAGATATAAATATAAAAATCTGCTTTAATAAATGTGATTTAAAAAAGCAAACACTAGGCAGTAAGAGTGATGGAAATGGCTACCTCAGCAATACAAAAATCTCAAAAATTCTCCAGTATTTTGGGATCTGCAGGCCTGAAAAAAATAACCAGGTATTGAGTTCCTTTCAGAACATTGAAAGGGATGGACTTAATCTAATTTTTCTAGGAAGATGCTTTCATATGATGGTCACCATGGCAGAGAAGGAACATCTCCTGGTACCTGCCAAATGTAGATCCCTACCTGATGCCACTATAGCAAGCCTAATCTATGGGGCAAGCTGATACAAGTAGGAAGCGGTGGTCTCTCAGATAACCATAAATGGACCCATGCCATAAAGGGCTTTTGTCAGGTGCCAAAAATAAAGAAATATGTGTGGAATTACTTCTAAGCAGTTTTCTTTATTGCTCCTCACCTATAGACATAAATAATGCCAAACTCAAGCAACTACTTGCATCAATAGATATACTCTGAGAATTGCTAGAGAGAATCCTTAACTATCTTTCTCCCAGCCAAACTATCTAAGCTTCATTACCTCTTTGCCTTCTGGAATTTATCTCACAAATGCTACACAATTTTCTCTGCACACTCCTGTAATATTTTCTTTGTGCCCTCCTTACCAGTTGGACTGTGTGATTTGAAACTTGGCTGAGATTTGGGGAAGGCAGTCTGTTGATGCAATAAGTGTGAAGATACTTTGTAATATGAGAACTGGTATTGGAATAAATGAAGCAAGCAAAGCAGCTACATGTATAAATAAAAGTAATTACCATCTGGCCAATTATGCACTGAAAAAAATGTAAGGACAGAATAGAGTGGAGTGGAGCAGAGCAGAGTGGAGCGGAGCGGAGCGGAGTGGAGTATAGTAGAGTAGGATAGAACAGAATAAGTTAGAATAGAGTAAGGTAGAATGGAATAAAATAAAGTTGAATAAGGTAGAGTAGAGTAGAGTAGAGTAGAGTAGAGTAGAGTAGAGTAGAGTAGAGTAGAGTAGAGTAGAGTAGAGTAGGGTAGGGTAGGGTAGGGTAGAGTAGAGTAGAGTAGAGTAGAGTAGAGTAGAGTAGAGTAGAGTAGAGTAGAGTAGAGTAGGGTAGAGTAGGGTAGGGTAGGGTAGGGTAGAGTAGAGTAGAGTAGAGTAGAGTAGAGTAGAGTAGAGAATAATTTACCTGACATATTTGACATCTTCCCATCAGAACATGGATCACAATCATAGCAGCAAAATTTTTCACCTTCTTTCTTTTTCTTCTGATAGCCAGCAGGACAGGGATCATTACATATTGAACGGGGCAGGACCTTTTGATAAACCAGGAAGGAATATAGGAGTAAGGATTTGAGTAATATTGGATAATCATCCTCTAATCTACCTGCACAAATAGAGTAGCAGTGGTCAAAGGATCATGAAATGAATTGCCACACATGGAAATCTCTCCAACACTTTCTAAATATTGCATATGGTTGCCTCCAAGCTATTCCTTCCCTTCCCGTTTGGGTTAACTGAAGGAAAAGGAGAAATAGTTTAAAATATATGTGTTGTGAGACTTATTACCTAGCATACTACAAGCAGACAACAAATAAAAAATCACCACCTTAAATGTGCCTCTGAGCACCAGCTCCAGGGATTAAAGTTTAAATTTTTTTTCCTTCTCTTTCTAGTTGATGGACTTTGGGCTGTTCAACCATAACATTAGCAGTCTGTTACTTGTTTTTTAAACTATTGTTCATACAACTAAGTCAGAAGCTCTGCAAAATTTCCCAACTTCTCCTATCGTAAACTCCCATATAAATTATTTGCCAATTATAATTCTCCCAAACCATGGGGGGGAGCCATACTTGGAGTATGGAGTAGTTAATTTTTACTTTACAAAGGAAATAGGAAATGAAAGCAGGCTGTACAATCAAAGTAATCTCTGGTTTCCAAATCTTGCATCCAAAATAATACAAAAACTCAAAATCTGTACCTGCTCAAAATCTTTGTGCCAAACAATTAAATGTTCCTGAATCAGAAATTTGTTTCCTTCAAGTGCTGTGGAATCCATCTTTCCTATTTTCACTTTACGGTAGGAGTTGTTTGGAAACATGACCACATTTGTAATATCAAATCCAGAAAGCACTTCTCCTTGATGGTTGATAGACACAGTTTCTCCAAGTGAATTATTGAATGAAAGGCCTTGAAGAAAACAGTGAAGCTAAATAAAAAGCAGAGGGAAGAAAAAAGAGGAAAGACAGAAGTAGATTACATCTAGATTTCTGTCAGTTAATTTTAAGTAGGATTATCACTAAACCATCACAGCTTGAAGATGTTACAATTATGGGCTTCCATGAGAGAAATAAACATTGGTACGTATTAGCATATTGACATATTTCTAATGCATACCGCATTCTGAAAAACTTGGTTCAAAACCAAAATAAGCCATGTGATGGCTTCACATGACTTCTGGAGCTGAATGCTATCAAAATCCAATCCCATGTAGACTTTATACTGAGACAGAAGCAAGCTGTTTTGTTGCTTATTTTTTTTCAACTTACCAAACTTGAGATGCATTTTTTGACAGTGGAAATTGGAATTTCCTTCAGATTTAAAGTGGAGGAAAAAAATGCGGATTTAACAGAAATACACATTATTTAGTTGGAAAAAGTTCTTATGGTTCTCTCAGGTTTTTTCAAGAATATACTGGACTAGACCCATTGCTTTCAAAGTTCAAAAGATATTGACAAACTGGAACAATGGGCCCTATCCAACAAAAAAGTTTTACATTTAGGCAGCAAAAATCAAAGATATAAATACAGATTAGATGAGACCTGGCTCAATAACAGTAACTGTGAGAGGGATCTTGGAGTCCTAGTGGACAATCACCAGCAATGAGCCAGCAATGTGCAGCAGCAGCCAAAAAAGCTAATACAATCCTGGGTTGTATAAACAGAGGCATAGAATCAAGATCACATGAAGTATTAGTACAGCTTTATAAAACCCTAGTGAGACCACACCTGGAATACTGCAACCAATTTTGGTCACCATACTACAAACAAGATGTTGAGACCCTGGAAAAAGTTCAGAGAATAATAATAATAATGGTAAAGTTGGAAGGGACCTTGGAGGTCATCTAGTCCAACCCCCTGCTCAGGCAGAAAACCCTATACCATTTTGGACAAATGGCTGTCCAGTTTCTTCTTAAAAACTTCCAGTGTTGGAGCATTCACCGCTTCTGGAGGCAGGTTGTTCCACTGGTTAAATGTTCTAACTGTCAAGAAGTTTCTCCTTAGTTCTAGGTTGCTTCTCTCTTTGGTTAGTTTCCACCTGTTGCTTCTTGTTCTGCCTTCAGGAGCTTTGGAAAATAGCTTAGCAACTAAGATGATCCAATGCCTGGAGACTAAAACATATGAAGAATGGCTGCCGGACTTGTGTTTGGCTAGTCTAAAGAAAAAAAGAAATAGGGGTGACATGATAGCAGTATTCCAGCATTTGAGAGACTGCCACAAAGAAGAGGGGGTCAAATTATTCTCCAAAGCACCAGAGGGCAGGACAAGGAACAATAGTTGGAAACTGATCAAAGAGAGAAGCAACCTGAAATTAAGGAGAAACTTCCTAACAGTGAGGACAATTAACCAGTGGAACAGCTTGCCTTCAGAAATTGTGGGCGCTCCATCACTGGAGGTGATGGAGTCACTTGTCTGAGATAGTATAGGTTCTCCTGCTTGAGCAGGGGGCTGGACTAAAGACCTCCAATGTCCCTTCCAGCTCTATTCTATTCTAAAGTTCAACCTTAAAAGCTACTTTGTGAAGCAATGACCTCCACAATTCAAAGGAAACATCCATCCACATAGCTCCTTTTAAAAGTGCCTCTTGGCCTTCTCCTACAAAAGTATTGGCAAGTATAGTGACTTCAGTCTGTGCCAAATGTCTTCCATACTGGGCAGCTCTGCCAACTGATGTCCATCTTGCAACACATCCCACCCAGCCTTGGCAAGATCAACACCTGATTAGTGACTACTAGGCACATGCTGAAGGTATACCAAGTTGGGTGCATTTGAACAGATAGTGAATCCCACACTTGTGTCAAAGCCACCTTCAGCCTGTACTGCAGTACATTAATAGATGTTCTAGTACCGCTTTACAAAGCCTTAGTAAGACCACACTTGAAAAAGATAGATAGATATAGATAGATAGATAGATAGATAGATAGATAGATAGATAGATAGATAGATAGATAGATAGATAGATAGATAGATAGATAGATAGATAGATAACCTTTATTGTAAATGTTTACTGTGGGCCTAATGGTACACATTAAAAATGAAATTTAGTTGCTTGCTCTCAAAGTATAAACATATGTAACACACATTTAAACATACTATATACAACATATGTATAAACCTACACCCTTACATATAAATAACATATAAATATTAATCACTGTCCATCTTGAATACATAATGGAAGGAGGAAACCTTAAGAGTCCACAAGGTTAATACTGTATGGAACAAAACTGTGACTGAATCTGGATGTTCTGCTTTGGATACCATGAAGCCTCCTCCCAGAAGGTAACAAAAAAATACTACATCCAGTTCTGGTCACCACAATATAAAAAAGATATTGAGACTCTGGAAAGATTGCAGAGAAGAGCAACAAGGATGATTAGGGGATTGGAGGCTAAAACACATAAAGAACGGAATTGGGCATGTCTAATCTAATGAAAAGAAGGACCTGATAGCAGTATTCTAATATTTGAGGGGCTCCTATGGGTCAAACTATCTTCCAAAGCACCAAAAAGCAAGATGAGAAACAATGGATGGAAACTAACCAAGAAGAGAAGTAACCTAGAACTAAGGATAAATTTCCTAACGGTGAGAGCAATCAAGCAATGGAACAGCTTGACTTCAGAAGTTGTGTGCTTTGTCACTGGAGGCTTTCAAAAAGAGTTTGGACAACCATTTATCTGAAATGGTATAGAGTCTCCTGCTGGAGCAGGGGATTGGACCAGAAAACCTCCAAGGTCTTTTCCAATTCTATTATTCTACGTTCTGTCTGGGGAGTGCTGAAAAAAGACTTCTTCAGGACTGACCCATTGTTCAGGACAACGTGAATTCCTTTATGGTAGTGCAGTGGTTCTCAACCTGTGGGTCGGGACCCCATTTGGGGTCGATCGACCATTTCATTGGGGTGGCCAAGCAAGGCTGTCCGCCATTTTTTTTGTCCGCCATTTTTTTCGTCCACCATTTTTTTCCCCTTTTCCGGCAGGTGCCTTACCTCCCTTGGGCTGGGCCAGCTGGTGGTCGGCCTGCTCCGTCTCTGCCGCTTGCCAGTTACGCCTCGGCCGGCGCAGGGGGCGGAACCACGCATGCGCAGCGCTCCCGGGCAGGGAAACTCCTCGACTTATGACCGGTTGGGTAGTTCTTGACCTACGACCGGTTTAGTCCTCAACTTACGACTGGTTTAGTCCTCGACTTACGACCGGTTTAGTCCTCGACTTACGACCGGTTGGGGTCGCGGCATTAAAAAGGTTGAGAACCACTGTGGTAGTGAATCATATCATTGTCTTACATCAGTGGTTCTCAACCTGTGGGTCGGGACCCCATTTGGGGTCGATCAACCATTTCACGGGGGTCGCCAAGCAAGGCTGTCCGCCATTTTTTTTGTCCGCCATTTTTTTTGTCCGCCATTTTTTCCCCCTTTTCTGGTAGGTGCCTTACCTCCCTTGGGCTGGGCCAGCTGGTGGTCGGCCTACTCCGTCTCTGCCGCTTGCCAGCTATGCCTCGGCCGGCGCAGGGGGCGTAACCACGCATGCGTGGTGGTCCCGGGCAGGGAAAGTCCTCGACTTACAACCGGTTGGGTAGTCCTCGACTTATGACCGGTTTAGTCCTCGATTTATGACCGGTTTAGTCCTTGACTTACGACTGGTTGGGGTCGCGGCATTAAAAAGGTTGAGAACCACTGTCTTACATGAATGAAGAGAATCATACCAACATCCAACATCAACCTCTTTCTAGAAGCAAGTCAGTCACTTTCACCCACTACTTCTTCACTAATCTGAGCAAGAGGAAGAAGCTGAGAATAACTTTATGTGGTGCTAATCTGCCCCTGGCCATGAAGGTCTTTGAATCACAAGTTTTTACCTTCCAGGTACCTTGACCTTGAAGTTCTTCTCTTGTACTCTCTGCTAGTTTTTTGTATTTTGACTTAAATAAGTTCATGCCGTGAACAGCATGAGCTAAAGCATAGACTGCATTGTAGATGCTGTAGCTATGGCCGGTAATTTCAAATAAATGCTGAGGAAGGTTTTTTAGCTCTTCCCTCCCAGTGCATACTTCATCATTTTCCACTGATTTATTGCTCTCAGAAAAGATGCAATCAAAGCCTTGTTCCCAGAGCTTTTTCAACAAACTATCTTGCTGGGTCTGGAGTAGTTTGATGGTCCCGAGAAATTCACGGAACCCTGGAAGTTCATTGGAGTGAATAGCAAAGGAAATTGCTCCATCAAACAATTGCAGATCGGAGGGTCGATGAAGGCTTGTTAATGTTAAATCCATCTGAGCTGTTAGAATCCACGTTTTTCCCAATATTTTTGAAGCGTAGGCATATTTAAGGAACATAAACAGAAGCATTGCTGTAGTGCTTTCCCCATAGAAGACAAATGTATTGATTTTGTTGTCCATCAAAAAAACATATATCCTATCGACAATTGTATTTTGAAATATAGAAAAAAATGCTTGTTTGGGAAATCTCTCCACAAAGGCAGAGCAGATCCTGTTCTCAGAAAGAAGTGGGTCCAGGGCTTGGAAGAAATTGTCTCCACTCTCATCATCCAGAATTATAAGCCCAACCCATATCCATCCAAAGTGTTTCAGCAAATGGATAATCCCCAGAATCTGAAGACTTTCATTGGGGGCCATGCGATAAAAGAAAGCAGCCATCTTTGTTTCATGCTTCTTGGGAGAAAATGAGCCATAAGCAACCTATAATAAATTGTGCAGTTGCTTTTCTTATGGTTGGAATATCTCAAATAACCTGAGAAATATATTTTCATAAAGAACTTGCAGATACATGCATTTTTACAAGCTATTTTAATAATAATAATAAAGTTGGAACGGACCTTGGAGATCATCTAGTCCAACCCCCTGCTCAGGCAGGAAACCCTATACCATTTCAGACAAATGGCTGTCCAGTCTCTTCTTAAAAACCTCCAGTGTTGGAGCATTCACCACTTCTGGAGGCAGGTTGTTCCACTGGTTAATTGTTCTAACTGTCGGGAAGTTCCTCCTTAGTTCTAGGTTGCTTCTCTCCTTGATTAGTTTCCATCCGTTGCTTCTTGTCCTGTCTTCAGGCACCTTCTTTGTGGCAGCCCCTGAGATATTGGAATACTTCTATCATGTCCCCCCTCGTCCTTCTCTTCATTAAACTAGACATACCCAATTCCAGCAGCCTTTCCTTATATGTTTTAGTGTCCAGTCCCCTAATCATCTTTGTTGCTCTTCTCTGTACTCTTTCTAGAGTCTCAACATCTTTTTTACATCGTGGTGACCAAAACTGGATGCAGTATTCCAAGTGTGGCCTTACCAAGGCCTTGTAAAGTGGTATTAATGCTTCACGTGATCTTGATTCTATCCCTCTGTTAATGCAGCCCAGCACTGTGTTGGCCTTTTTGGCAACTGCAGCACACTGCTGGATCATATTTAAGTGATTGTCCACTAGGACTCCGAGGTCCCTCTCACAGTTACTACTATTAAGCAAGGTACCCCCTATATTATACCTGTATATATACCTGTATACCCCCTATATTATACCTGTATTTTGTTGGATGGGCTTCCATTTTGAATTCTAAATACAACTTTAACCATTATGATTACTATGAACTAAATGCTAAATAAATGGAATGCTAGCTCACTTAATTTTTGTTAAATATAGACCCTGCCTTTTCTTCAGATGCACAATAGGATCTGCAGAGCACTTTTAAGCAACCCCATAGGTTTGGCTGAGAGATGATGATAGATACATCCATGGTTGAGGGTGAATTTAGACCTAGCTGAGCCTTTGAAGCTCTCAGCTTCTGCCCTCTTTTTCGGATACCAATTTTAATACACTATTTCCAATATGATACTTCAAATATGCTTAAATCCAATTCTGAAATGTCACTGGATCCTTTTAATGCATTATTAAACCTAATCTAACCCCACTTGAAAAAGAATTGTTCCCCATTCCCTTCAAATTTGCCATATGGATGGGTTTTTATAAATTGCAACACATATATCGTACCTGTGGGATTTTATAAAGACTTGTGATATCTGACATGAAGAATGAGATATCAGCACCAAATCCTCCAATAATGGCCACGAGATTCTCCTTGATATCACATCTGTAGTTGACAATCAACTGATCGGATCGGAAAAGCAGTTCGAAAGTGGAACGGTAAGTCAGCTGAGCATCAAAATAGTTATCACAGATGAAAAATCCCAGGGTAATATTAGATAAGAGCCTTGGGTTTGAGTTGATCTGTTTTACTGCAAATGCCAAACTCAGGGAATGCTGATACAACTTTAAAACAGCTCTGGCAAGGAATTTGAGGGATAAGTGAAACAGAGAGGGTTTGATGCAAGTACAATGCATTCAGTGAAATAAGAATAACAATATGAATTTTGCACATTGTGACAGGCATCCCATTGTGATAGGCAAAGACCAATGAGGAACATTTGATACATCATGAAACATGTCTACAACTGGACTGGCTTGCAGAAAAAATATGAAGTAGAAATAAATCCTATACCTAAAATACAGACAGATTATTATTTATAATACAAGGTGATATCAATGCTGCTAATATTGTATATTCTTGCTTTGACGGTCCAGTTGAAGCCTGATTGAATTCACTGAGTTTATTTCTATGCATAAGAAACAAATCTTTGAATTTGCAACCCTGTATGGATTTTCCAAGATGAAAGATGACTTCTGCAGCTTCTTGGACAGAGCGAAGATGATTCACTTAGTGTTTGATTGCTGACCTTTGATGTGGACAATGAAACCCAGATGGGCATAGTGGAATTTGGATACAAGGAAGGAACTGGTGTTTCCATGGGGGAGATGTGGTGAAGCACTACCCAAAAGGCACTGCTTTGTACTTGCAATATTGTCTAACGTACAGTACATAGAAGGTGTTTTGTATTTTTATGCAAGGACTGATTCAACAGTTAGCCAGTCACTATCATGTCCCAAAATCAACTCAACAGATCTAATGCCATATTCATGAAAAGATGCCCTTGTTAACTAATTATTGTAATATTGTTTAAGATTTTACAAATTAGTCAATCTATCCACAAAAAATATGCAATAATAAAATTGGTGAGCCTTAAGATTTCAAAAGACTCTTTTAGGCTAGCTAAAAAATTATCTATGGTTTGGAAACTGTGATTACAAATAAAGCTCGTAAAAATTTAGTGTGGAATCTTTTAATATTTTCTACTTAATGTATAAAACACCCTTGAGACTCTTTTGGCTTTGCAGTCTTAACCACATGCAGAAATCAAGGAAAAGAGAATTTCTTACAGAGGTGGCATAAACGATTTCTGTGAAGGGTGCTCTTCAAAGAAATGTTCCTCAAGTACATACACAATCTGAGCTGTGATCCCACCAATGAGGAGGTTTCCTGGTTGATACCATTTATGGAGGATAGGAAAGAGATCACTTCTGGGGCAAGGTGAGGCATCTATCTGGAAATTCATGTCAACCAGAAACCACAGTATGACTAGTACTCTCAACAATTTTTTTTCTAGAGAAGGCTTACTTGTGCCTCTCCACTTCATTTGGTGAAACCATTTTCCATCAGTTACAAAATCTAGGAAGACATTCATCTAATGCACAATCTGGTATCGGTTTTCTCTTGCAATTGGTTGACATCAACAAGGATAGCAAAGCATGTTCAGATGGACAAGGGTACTCCAATCAGTGGAAATCACCAGCAGAATTCAAAGGGAAAAGATCCTGCCTGCCTCTTTTCCTTCAAGTACAGAAGTGAAAGGTTTTATAACCTCTTCCAGACCAAGTTATGAATTATTTCTCAGTATTTTTGTGGAAAGCTGCTGTAGCTGTGTCATAAAGCATCAATGATAGTTATTTAACTTAATTGCCAATCAGGAGTCACCTCTGCAAAATGGAACTTCCTGGGATTAGAGCTATTATTTTGCTTCCATATCACATCATTTGAAACAACCTTCTTCTTAGCTTTTTAATGATATACCACATAAAAGACTTATATATGATTATTTCTGTAAACGTAATCATTACCCATGGGATTCTTCCAAAACCAAATACTTGTGGCTGAAATCTCTATGTTCTCCAAATATATCTCTTTAGCAAATCATTGAGCACAATAAATATCAAAGGAATCATTGGGGGTGATGTTGTAGGAATTCCTTATTCTTTTGTAAAAATAAAAATATGAAGTGCAATATTAGCCCATGAGCATTACATTGGTTATTCTGTTTGCTTTTTCGTGTGTGTGTGTGTGTGTGTGTGTGTTTGTGTGTGTGTGTGTGTGTGTGTTTTCTTGAAGATTCATCCCAACTTTCCCCCAAGAGCTTGTGATGCTCCCTGAATAAGCCCCCAATAAGCCTTAATGTGGATTCCTTGGTCCTAGTTAGGAAATCATGCATAATACTGTCCGGTCAGCAAACCCTAAAAAAAATACAGAGCATTTATCCAGCCAATTCCTCTGTTCCCCAATTAGGTGGTGATTTTTGAAATTTTTTTTAACCTCGACTGTATTTTCTCTAATAACCTGTTGCAAATATTTACCTTTCTAAAGATAAAAGTATTTCATTTAATACATCTGAGGTCAGTAAAATAAAGAACCAGATTGTTGGGGACAATATGCTGATGTTGTAAATCACTAAGAGAGTGCTGTAAAGCACTATGAAATGGTACATTCTGTAAGTCTAAGTGCTATTTCTATTTTAATATCTTTCATATCAAAATTCCCATATAATACACCAAGTTCTTAAGTTAAAACATATTTGTCACAAGAACAACATCAAGCAGTGTGTCTACTATATTCTCAAACACTTTCTTTATAAAACTCTATGATCAAACTATTTTGGTGGAATCTTCCTTTTCATTAGTCCATTAACCCTCTTCATAATCCAGATTTGTTAGTAATCCTGTTTTTCAACATTGCTTTGAAGTCCTTTCTTTAGAGATTTGCAAGTCTCTTCCAGAGTGCATTAATTAGTGAAAGACATACATTTATTTATTTATTTATTTATTTATTTATTTATTTATAATTGGACTTATATGCCGCCCTTCTCCCCATGGGACTCAGGGCGGCTCACAGCATATTAAAACAGTATAAAACATTATCCCCAATAAAAACCAATTAAAAACAAATATTTATCGCTGTGTCTTATTAAAATCATTAAAATTGTCCCTATTTAAAATTCACCCTAGGCCAGACCCGCTTGCTGAAAAAGCCATGTCTTGAGGGCGCGGCGGAAAGCTAGGAGATCCGGAATCGTCCGGATCTCGGGGGGTAGTTCGTTCCAGAGGGTGGGGGGACATTAAAGGATTTTGAAGATTCTTTATTTTAACTTCTGGTTGTACAAATGGGATATGGCACATAAATCCATTATGGATAGAGAGAATAATGTATATTTACATTATAAATTTACTAGCTGCTATTAAGAAGATTGGAAGCACATTTTAGTTCTTTTTCTTTTTTTCTTCTCTGCTTCATGATGATAAGATCCAAAGTATTTTACCCAGACTTAAGATCATTGTTTATACTTGGTGAACAGATCTCTTTTCAAGAAGACCTGTTATTTTATTGATTTGTCATAATGCCAGGCTTCTAGGCATTCTCTAGCATTTTTGAACTAGGCTTGGTCTAGAATAATCAGAAGTTCCCAGATGAAATTATGGTTATGTCTGACCCCTCTTAAGGAGTTTTCATCATGTCATCTAACTGCTAGTTGATGTTCCTTATCAAGTGGAGGCAGGCGTGACACTCCTGAATTCTGATCACATGAACACAGGGGTGATGCAATGGCCATAACTTTGAGCATGGATCATAAGTCCCTTTGTTCAACATCATCACAACTTTGAACAGTTCCTGAATGAATGGTCAGAAGTTGAAAACTATCTGGTTCTTTTAATTATATAGAGAGAAATGTATATTGTACATTTACATTAGAAATTTTCTTGTAAATGCTATTAAGAAAATTGGAAGCGCATTCTATGCTTTAGTTTCCAGGCCTTTAATCATCTTAGTTGTTCTTCTCTGCACTTTTTCCAAAGTCTCAACATCTTTTTTGTCATACATTTGAACAATCACTAAACCTATGGTCCTAAGTTAAGGAGTGTGTGTATGTTGCAACCATAGAGTAAGAAATGTATACTGTATATTTACATTAGAAATTTACTTGTAACTGCTATTAAGAAGATTGTCTCTTCTCTATTTCATTATGATAAGATCCAAAGTAAATAACAGATATTAGATCATCATTTACAGCAGCGGTTCTCAATATGTTGGTCACAGTCCCTTTGGGGGTCGAACGACCCTTTCACAGGGGTCGCCTAAGACCATCGAAAAACACATATTTCCGATGGTCTTAGGAACTGAGACACCGCTCCTCTATCTCCTAGCTCTCCTCTTCCTCCTCCCCTTCTTCCTCCTGCTGCCCCCCAGGCAGCTCGGGCAGGCGCTGGGACAAGAGGGGTGCCTGGGGGGAGCAGCAGGGCTGGCGGAGGGGCTGGCAGGGGCCGCGTGGCACCAGCCCCCACCGCGGCTCCATTGGATGGGCGGAGGGCGAGGCCGGGCAGCGCAGAGTCCCAGCTGGGATGGCGGTGGCTGCTTCCTCAACCTCCTCCTCTCCTTCCTCCTGGTGCCCCCCAGGCGGCTTGGGCGAGTGCCAGGGCAAGAGGGGTACCTGGGGGGAGCAGCCGGGCTGGCGGAGGGGCTGGCAGGGGCCGCGCAGCACCAGCGCCCACCGCAGCTCCATCGATGGGTGGAGGGCGAGGCCAGGCAGCGTGGAGTCCCGGCTGGGGCGGCTGCTTCCTCGCCCTCCTCTCCTTCTTCCTCCTGCTGCCCCCCAGGTGGCTCGGGCGGGCACTGTCCCCACCGCGGCTCCATTGATGGGTGGAGGGCGAGGCCAGGCAGCGCGGAGTCCCAGCAAGGGCGGCGGCCAGGCCATGGGCGGTGGGGACCCCCAATGATGCAGCCGTGCCACTGCCGCCACTGGAGCTGCTGCCTCCCATCCTGCTGCTGAGGATGCAGCGGAGGCCGGTCTGGGGGCGGTGGGGACCCCCGACGATTCTGCCATAAGAGAGAGAGGAAAGAGAGAGAAACAGAGGAAAAGAGAGAGGAAAGGGAGAGAGAAAGAGAAAAAGAGAGGAAAGAGAGAGAAAGAGAAAGAAGGAGGAAACAGAGAAAGAGAGAGAGAGAGAGAGAGAGGGGAGAAAGAGAAAGAGAGGAAAGAGAGAAAGAGAGGAAAGAAAGAGGAAAAAGAGAGAGAAAGAGAGAGAGGAAAGAGAGAAACAGAGGAAAAGAGAGAGGAAAGAGAGAGAGAAAGGGAAAGAGAGAGAAAAGAGAAAAAGAGAGAAAGAGAGAGAGGAAAGAGAGAGAGAAAGAGAGAAAAAGGGAGAGGAAAGAGAGAGGAAAAGGAGAAAGAAGGGGAGAGGAAAGAGAAAAAGAGAGGAAAGAGGGAAAGAGAGGAAAGAGGGAGAGAGAGAAAGAGGGAAGGGAAAGAGAAAGAGGAAAGAGAAAGAGAAAAGGGAGAGGAAAGAGAGAAAAAGAGGAACGAGAGAGAGAGGGAGAGGAAAGAGAAAAAAGAGAAGAAAGAGAGAGAGAGGGAGAGGAAAGAGAGAGAGGAAAGAAGGAGGGGAGAGAGGAAAGAGAAAGGAAAGAGAGGAAAGAGACAGAGAGAGACCGTTTTGACATCTAAAATGAAGATAACACTGCATTTATCCTTGTTTACCTTTATTTTATATATACACACACAAACACAGATACATACATACATACATACATACATACATTAAAGGTAAAAAAAGATATATGCAGTGTTATCTTCATTTTAGATATCAAAAGGGTTTTGCGGCTCCCAGTGTTTTGTTTTTGGTGAGAAACGTGTCCAAGTGGCTCTTTGAGTGTTTTGGGTTGCCTACCCCTGTCCTAAGGGAGGCAAAACTGCTTCGTGGCCCTTTCCGCGGAGGAGGCTGAACTAAGCTCTGCCGGCGCTGTCACCCTCTTGGCTCTCTCTCTCTCTCTCCCTCTCTCTCTCTCCACTTCCCCGCCTGGGCGCTTCTCCAACCAGGCTGGGCGGAGCTGGTGGAGCGGCCTTCCTGTCCCCCCTCCCCGGCCAGCTGGATGGGGGGTTGGGGATTACCACAACATGAGGAACTGTATTAAAGGGTCGTGGCATTAGGAAGGTTGAGAACCACTGATTTACAGTTACGAAAGAAGAAGACCTATTGTTTTATTCATTAAATAGGCCTTCTAAATAATCAGAACTAAGAGAAAATATTTTATTAAAAGCACATTCACTCATTATAAACTGAAATATTTTATTTTCCATGTCTGCTTAAAAGAATTCAACAAACAGTGTTCCAGTGTTATACAAATAAAATATATGTAAAATTGCCAGAGTTAATAAAAAGGGTCATTTTTATTTTTAGAAAAGGATTGCTAATTCCATTTCACAGTAGAGATATATGCACCCACAACTGAATAATCAGAAATGCTTTTTCTTTACAAGTTGCCCTTTGCTGTTGAGCTCAGGCCTCAACAAAATAATGTAGCATTTGGGGAAAAAGATACTTCCCAATAACCCAGCACTAGAAGCTAAGATGGAGAAGATCTCCACAGCTACCATATACTTTCCTTTGGTGCTCACATAGGTTGGAACAAAAGTTAACCAAACACTGCAAAACATCAGCATGCTAAAAGTGATGAACTTGGCTTCATTGAATGTGTCTGGCAGATTCCTAGCAAGGAATGCCACCATGAAGCTGACCAGAGACAGAAACCCCATATAGCCCAAGACAAGATAAAACATCTCAACAGACCCCTCATTACATTCTTCTATGATCTCTTCAGCCATTGATTGCATATTAAGTTCTGGAAAGGGAGGAGAGGTGATCATCCATGCCAGACAAATACCTGCTTGAATGGAGGAGCCAGAAAAAACAATTAAGATGGACAGTTTCTTCCCCAACCATTTTCTCATGCCAGACCCTGGTTTGGTGGCCATGAATGCTGCAACGACCATGATGGTTTTGGCCAATACAGAAGAAACAGCCACAGAGAAAATAATGCCAAACGCAGATTGTCTGATGAAGCAAATCAGTTTGAAAGGTTTTCCAAGGAAGAGAAAAGAGCAGAGGAAGCACAGCAGAAGGGAGATGAGGAGAGTGTAGGTGAGATCCTTGTTGTTAGCTTTAACAATAGGGGTGTCTTTATACTTGATAAATATTCCAAGTATGAGCATGGTGATGACTGAAAATAAAAAAGCAACCACAACTAAACTGATCCCTAAAGGTTCTTCAAAGGTTAGAAAAATTATGATTTTGGAGATGCATCGAACTTTGTCCTTACTTGGGTATTGATCTTCTGGACATTCAGAACAGGCAGTCATGTCTGCAAATAAGAGAGAGGCCTTGAAGCATTCAAATCTTAGCATGAAGCACCAAATAAAATATTCAATTTAGATTAAATCAGTGTTTTGTAAACCTGGACACTATACAAAGTCTGGACCTCAACTCTAAGAATTCTGTCTGGGGAATTCTGGGAGTTTAGTTAAAGTGGATAAGTTTGAAAACCATTTGATTATCTCATTAGATGAAATCCAAAAGTCATGTATTGATCTGGGAATCTATTATTGATAATCAGATTCAGCAAGCAAGAATTGGTACTACAATAAATGAAGGAAGTAAATCAGCTGCATATCTAAATAAAAATAATTAACCACAAATATGTCAGAGAGGAGAGGAGAGGGGAGGGGAGGGGAAGGGAAGGGAAGGGAAGGGAAGAGTATATAGAAAATAATTTACCTGACATGTTTGACATCTTTCCATTGGAACATGGATCACAATCATAGCAGCAAAATTTCTGCCCTTCTTTCTTTTTCTTCTGATAGCCAGCAGGACAGGGATCATTACAGACTGAACGGGGCAAGATCTGTTGATAAACCAGGATGGAATTCAGGACTGAAGATTTAAGTAATCCTGGACAGTCACTCCTCTAATCTACCTGCACAACTAGTGTAGCAAAGATCAAAGGATCATGAAATGAAGGACCACACTTGGAAATCTCTCCAAGACTTTCACAACATTGACTATGGTTGCTTCTAAGCTATTCCCTCCCTTTCCTTCTCTGGATTAATTGGAAAAAAACTAGTAGTTTAAAAAATATGTCCCTTAACACTTAATACTTAATACAAGCAGACAAAAAATAAAAAATCACCATCTTAAACATGTCTCTGAGCAGTCGCTACAAGGATTAAAGTTGGATATTTTCCTTCTACTCATTCTAGTTGATGGACTTTCAGATGATCTTGTCCCAATCACAATATCAGATGTCAATTGTTCCCTTTTTACACTATTGTTCATACAACTAACTCAAAAGCTTTGCTGTGTCAACCACAATAAAGCCAGAATATACAACATTTCTTAGTCCCCTGATTTTCAAATTTCTGATCACTTGTCCAAAGTGGGTGGGAGCTCTTTTTATTATATTCTCAATTATTTTTATATTTATTATTTAATTTTTCTTCAATTTTATTTCACTGTTTTCTTGGGGCTAGGATGATAGCAAAATTCCCCATCTTTCCTATGAAAAAAGCTATGTAAATTATTTGCCAATTATAATTTCCCCAAAGTAGGAAAAATTAGCCATTCTTTGACTACAGAGTGCTAAATTTTATGTGATTAAAGTATCAGAAAATAGGTTGTAGAATCAAACTCATCTCTGATCCCCAAATCTTTTATCCAGAATAATAAAAACACCTTAAAATCCATACCTGCTTAAACAATTTGTGCCACACAATTAAATCTTCATGAACCACAAATTTGTTTCCTTCAAGTGCTGTGGAATCCACCTTTCCAATTTTCACTTTACGGTAGGAGTTGTTTGGAAACATGACCACATTTATAATATCAAATCCAGAAAGCACTTCTCCTTGATGGTTGATAGACACAGTTTCTCCAAGTGAATTATTGAATGAAAGGCCTCGAAGAAACCAGTGAAGCTAAATTAAAAGGATAAGGAAAAAAATAAGAGAGAAAAAAGGAGTGGACTATATCTACATTTTTTGAAATTTGTATCTATAGAAATGAGTTACTTAACTCCCACTGATTTCCGTCAATCAATATTAAATATAACTACACTTAACCATGGTATACTGTACAACTCTTAATCATGGACTTGCACAAGAAAGACAAAATTGGGGCATAGATTACCATATTTGCATAGATGTGTCTTGCATTGAACACCTGCAGTCCC